CCCAGAAATTAATCCACATATTTACAGCCAACTGATTTTTGACAAAGGTGCCAAAGGCACTGGGGAAAGGATAGTCTCTTCAATAAATGGTACTGGAAAAACTATTCATATGCAGATGAATGAAACTAGACCACCGTGTCTCACCCTATACAAAAATCAACTCAAAATAAATCAAAGACCTAAATATAAGATCTGAAACTATGAAACTATTAGCAGACAAAATAGGGGAAACACTTCAAGACAATGGTCTGGGAAAAGATTTTATGAATGAGACTTCAAAAGCACAGGCAACAAAAGCAAAATAAACAAATGAGACTGTATCAAACTAAAGACCTTCTGCACAGCAAAGGTAACAATCAAGATTGAAAAGATAACCTACATAATTGGAGATAATATTTGCAAACTACTCATCTGACAGGGAATTAATATCCAGAATATACAAGGAACTCAAACTACTACCAGAAAACCAACAGCAAGATACCAACCAATCTGATTTTAAAAATGGGCAAATGATCTTAACAGACATTTCCCAAAAGAAGACACACAAATGGCCAGCAAATAGATGAAAAATGTTCATTATCACTAATCATCAGGGACATGCAAATCAAAGGCACAATGAGTCATCATCTCACCCTTGTTAGGATGTCTGTTATCAAAAACACAAAAAGTAAATGCTGGAGAAAATACAGAGAAAAGGGAACCCTTGTACACCATTGGTGGGAATGTAAACTAGTAGAGCCACTATGAAGAACGGTATAAAGCCTCCTCGAGAAACAAAAATAGAGCTACAATATGAGCTAGCAATCCTACTACTGGGCATTTATCCAAAGAAAAGAAAATCAGCATACCGAACAGACATCTTGCCATGTTTATTGCAGCACTATTCACAATAGCCAAGATATGGAATCAACCTTAGTGTCCAGCAACAGATGAACGGATAAGGAAAATGTGATGTGTGTGTGTATGTATAAAAAAGTTGATCTCATAGAAGTAAAAAGTAGAACAACGGGTACTAGAGACCGGAAGGACAGGGAGAGCGGAGGGATAGAGAGATTTGTTAAAAGATAAAAAATTACAGCTAGATAGGAGGAATGAGTTCTAGTGTTCTATGCTAGTACAGGATGAGTATAGTTAAAAATAATGTACTACATAGTTTGAAATAGCTAGGAGGAGGATATTGAATGCTCCCGACCCAAAGAAATGATCAATGTTTGAGATGATGGATATGCTAGTTACTGTTATCTGATGATTATTTATTGCATATCAAAATATCACCATGTACCCCATGCATACATACAACGATTGTCAATTAAAATTAAGATAAAATTTTAAAAAACTGACAGCACAATTAATTTATAACTGGCTTGTAAATTACTGGGTATCACCAGGGGAAAAAAGTGAAGATTAAATTTTTTACTTTTCTTCCAAAGAAGTTCTGCTGAATTTCAAATATTTTCTTTAAAAAATCATGTTTGACAGATATGGAAGTTAATGTTAGCAAGGTAATGAAAATTAATGATGCAATGTCCACTGGGCTATGTCTATGCAGGTGTTTTCTTCCACTGTTGCCACCATAAACATAAAAATGTCTGATAAATAAAATTCTGAACTTACACATAACACATCAGAAGTGATTATTTTCATTCCTCCTAAAACCCAAAGAATTTCTTCACATAATTAGTTCTTATGAGTTTTTGACATACAATTTGATTTTTACAAATGTATTAGGTTATACAAATTTTTAAGTATATACTTATCGTGAAAACTGAGTAGACACTATGAGATACATAGTTTCCAATCCTCCATAACAGTTGTGAAATCAGAACTTACCCCAAATGGTCTTTGAATGTTACCCTATACCAAGCCAAGCCATCTGTTACCCAGAACTGTACTGAAAACATCATTTTGATACTTAACTAACATGGAACTTTGTATCTTTCTCTTTCTCTCTCTCTTTCTTCATCTATTCCCTAGCATAGGGAAGATTAAAAGTGGCAAACTAGAGGTATGGTGGAATGTTAGAAGCAAGCAGAAAGACAAGAAGTTAGGGTGACATTAGGGAAGACACAGAAAAACAACCAAAATGTCACACCCTAATCTACTAATATGCTATATATTAATGGATACTTGTAATGATTATTTAGCCATCCCAACTAAATTAACTTATATTCAACATATACCAATGTATCATATTTTATTCTCCAAAGATGGCCATAATAATAACTTCTGAGTATATGTCTTCTATAAAAGAACCTCACCACTTCCCCATACATGGGTGGAGTCTAAGTCCCATGCCATCAAATTTGCACTGATGAATAGAATATGGTGAAGGTGAGGCTGTGTGACTCCTGAGGCTGGGTCATAAAAGGTGATACAGCTTTTGTACTGTTCACTGAAATACCTATGCTGGAGCCTTGAGCTTCCACCTAAGAAGTTTAATTACCTTGAGGTCACCGTGCTATGGAGGACAAATATAGACAGGTGTTCCAGTTGATAGCCAAAGCTGAGCTCCCATCTTATATGTCCAGCCCAGTAGAGTCACCAGATGATTACAACCCCAACAGACACCTGATTGAAACCACGGAAGAATCCCCTAACAAGAGCTGAGCCCACTTAACCAATAGGACCACGAGAGACAATACTAAATTGCTGGTTTAAGCCATTAACTTTTGGGTTGATTTGTTCTGCAGCAATGGTAAATGGAACAGCTTATTAAAAAAGAAGTGCTACGTATTCAACCACAATTCAAAACATACTCCTGAGTATGTGTTTTGTGCTAGGAATGTGATAAGTAAGTGCTTTATATTGATTATATTATTTAATATTCAAACAACTTTTTTGAGTAATATCTTCATTTAGTGAAAAAGGAAATGTAAAATACTTTTTAAAAGCTCTCTTCTGGCTAGGCTTGGTGGCTCATGGCTGTAATCCCAACACTTTGGGAGGCCCAGGTGGGGGGACTGCCTGAGTCCAGGAGTTCAAGACCATCCTGGGCAACATGGCGAGACCCAGTCTCTATTAAAAACAAAAATATAGCTGGGCATGGTGGTGTACACCTGTGCTCTCAGCTACTTGACAAGCTGAGAAACCTGGGGTTGAGAGTGAGGGGGCAAGGGAGGAGGAAGTTGCAGTGTATGGAGATTGAGCCATTGCACTCCAGCCTGGGTGATAAAGTGAGACCCTGTCTTGAAAAGACAAAAAAAAAAAAGCTTTCTTTCATGAAACTACTTCTTGTGTTATGAATGCAATATGTTATTGACTTTCTTTAAGGATAATAACTTCATTTTATTTCAAGAATATAACATAATTATCATCAGAATATTATATTATCTTTATTCAATTAAAGATAATTTTTTCCCTTGAGAATCTCCCTGTTATATAGTTCTTCTCACCCCTCACCATTATTATGTGATTCTTGGTTGTTGGTTCATATTTTAAGTAAGGCTCAACATCAGAGGTTCCCAATAAGAATGGTATTACTCCTAGGGGGCATTTTTGGTAATTTGTGAGGCATTATCTATTGCCACAGTGTTTGGGGATATTTTTGGCACTTAGTGGAAGGGTACTAGGAATGTTAAACATCCCATCATAGGATGCACTGAACAGTCTGTGCAACAAAGAAATATTCTGTGTCCTGTACAATTTTTAAATGTCCTACTAGATATTCATGGTGGTAAAAAATATGTTCTTAATTACTTGAATCTGGAACACAATTCTGTTTTTAGATAAGCCTCAAATATTTTTGCATAGTTTTAATATACATTAAATTTCCCAGGCTTGTACCTACTATATAAATTGATGGAAGATTTTACTTTCTTCTGTTCAGAACTTTAGCATTGGTCACCATTTTGGACAATCATTTGGATATTACTGATGACAATCTGCTCATGCTATTTAAAATGACAATACAATGTTCCTGTATCAGTCTACGTTCATGGTTGTAACATTTGTGGTGATTCTCTGTTTAGGTGCAAACATCTGATGACCACATTATTTATCTTAGTATAGTTGTACTAAAGCATTTACTTATTGAAATATATATATATATATAATTTTGTTATAAATCACCTCCCTCTTATTTATTCTCCATAGTACATTAGCATGTCATTAAAAAAAATTACAGGTATAGTTAAGTCAATTGTAATTTTCACTGCAGGAAAATAAAGGGTATGTAAGAAGTAGTTAGAAAAAGGGAGTTGAAATTCATAAAGAGGCAAAAGCATCTGAGAGATATGAAGAGAGAAAAAGGAGCATGTCCAGTCATTTAAGTTTTCCCCAAGGATCTCTCTGTCTGTTGGGATGATGGAAGTTACTTAGAGCACTGCCTTACTTCTCTTTCTAGTCCAGTGCTGATTCTAGAAGTATCTATTGACAGGTCATGTAGTTCTTTTAAAGAGGTATTCTACTGGCCACAGCATAGTAGGAAATGCCTGAGCCAGCAGCTCTGAAGACTAGGGAACTGGTTCAGCTATTCCAAGCCCTTTAATTAATTATGCTACTGACTGCCCCCGAGTCTGTTCCCAGTCTTCACTGTCTGTGACCCTGGGTTTTTTTCCCATGGTTCTACTTAACTCATTGTTTCAGTTTTGTCTTTCATTTGTGTTTTGGGGTCTTTTGCTCAGTTGGACTGTATGTTTAATCTTATTCCATCTGTAGTATATTATTATTTAACAAGTTCCTCAATGCTGATTCCACTCTTCCAGGTTTCCAGAGCTGCTGTGGATTGATTTTTACATTTATTCTTCCATTCAAAGAAACTCTGGATGGAAGTAGATGTAAAGGCATGTCTTAATCAGTTATTTCAGGTGGAAGCCATTCTAAGCACTTTACATAAAGGAAATATTTTCCTCCTATGATTGGTATGTTAAAATTTTTATTGATTAGGTATCAGTTTTGCTGTAGGCAAGCCACTATAACTAAATTCAACTGTCTGACTTCAATTTTTTCTTGTTTTGTTAAAGAAATTATTTTTAAAAAGTGATAAAGTGCAGAAAACTTACAATCCGTATCAAGTAAGGCACGAACAGATTTAATAAGTTCCTTAGATTCAAGCACCAGCGTTGCTGGGATGTTATGTCCATTCCTTCCCATCAGTGTGAGAGAAGTCTGAGAAGCTAACACAGCTCTTCTTTCACTATGAAGGCAATAAAATAAAGTTGAATTTACTATACAATAAAAAACATCTATCTTTACTAAATCCGAAGTTGTATTAGTTATAGATTTGTACAAAAATATTTCTATTTCTGAGGACATTATTTCATAGAACCAAAATTGAAGTAATTCACATAAAACAATATTTCTGTTTTCAGTTATTTATTACATAATAAGTAGAAATATTTTAAAATTAGGTTGATTTCATGCATGAGAAAGAAGTAACAGAAGGATGACTTGTCTCCTAAAACATTTGTTGGGATTATTTTGTGAGTGCTTGTGTTTTGCTAACATGATATAATTTTATTTAGTTCTATATAAATTCAAATTAAGCATAAAACATGAATTTATTAAACATACATTCGTTATTACTTCTAGTAATATTAAATATAAATTTAATATATATTATTTTTGCTCCTGAAATTATCTCTTAAACTATTCCATTTTTTGCCTCTAATCAAAAACAGCCTAGAGCATTTATAACACTTTAAAAAATGCAAATGTCACCTAAACTGAATGAATTCTGACATAAACATTAGATGTTTTCCTCAAAACATTACAATAAAACATACTTGAAAAGAAACAATTTTAAACTGATGACAAAATTATCATTATTTATAGTCCATGTTCCTAAGAATAATGATATTAATGAACAAAAAGAAGCAAAAGCATCAATTCTCAAATGCAAATACATAGCCTTTATTCTGTGTTGAATGACCAAGGCCAATATCCACGTAGAAGATATGCTATATTGAAATGACTGCACCAGATTTTACTAGTGTTTAATTTAATAAGACACCATGAAACATTGCTTGATGTAGCTGTTTAAAGTTGTCTTTTTTTTCCATGAAGCAGTTTAAGGCAAGGGCAGGCTCTGGCCTTTAAATAGTCATTTTAACCTTAATTTTTAAAACAAAACTTGAATTATCAGTCAAGGTAAAAATAAGACCTTAGGAGGCTGAGGGTGGGTGACACATTTAACTCATACAAGAAATAAATAAATATGATTACTGATTATTTTTAGATCCTTACTGAGAGTAATAATCATGAAACTCACAGAGTTATCTTGTATCATAAGCGGCATGGATAGTAAGAAGATATGCCAGATTCCTTCATCGTAAGAAGTAAAACATTATACCAAATAATGAGCTTACAAGTGTTATTATAAATATTCTTTTAAATTAAAAAATGCTATGTGGACAACTAAAATATCTTCATTTATTAAGCTGCTGTTTTCACAGCAAAGGGTAGAATATTTATTTACTTCCTAGGACAGGGTGTCACTATGTTGTCCAGGCTGGGGTGCAGTGGTATTATCACAGCTCATTGCAGCCTCAATCTCCTAGAACTCCTGGGCTCCAGCAATCCTCCTTCCTCAGCCTCAGCCTCTCAAGTATTACTGGGACTACAGGAATGCGCCACCACATACAGCTAGTTTTTTTTTGGTAGAGATGGGGTCCCACTATGTTGCCACTATGCTGCTTGTCTCAAACTCCTGGGCTCAAGTGATCCTCTTGCCTCAGCCTCCCAAAATACTAGGATTGCAGGCATGCACCACACATCCAACCTCATTGAGTCTTCCTGTTTCTGCAAATGTATACTGTTAGAAGTAGAAGATGTATTTAGGACTAGTGGCAGCTATTATGAGATTAAAAAAAATTACTTTGGAAATGCATAAACAGGAACCTTGCTTTTGTAAATGTCTTTCATCATGTATCGAAATGACCATAAACTTGTGGTTTGAAATAAATAAATTTGATTAGTATGTTTGCAGGTTCTAGCAAGAAACTGTAAATCCAAAACATATTATGAATAAGACAATAAAGGTATACTCTCCAAATATATTTATTTTATTTATATCTACTGAAAGACGAAAATGAAAGAAAATGATTGCATGAATATGTTTTCCAAAATTCTGTTTGCCAGAAAAACTAATCTGCCGGGTTGTTTTTAGGAGGGAACCTGTGACCAGAAACTTTTATTCATACACAGGACAATTAAAGAATTTCAAGTTAATCTCATCTTTATAGAATTTTTGACAAAGGCAAGATAGGTGGTTCCTACCTCAATTTTAGAGGACAAGGTTACAATGATTGACTAAATGCCTCCAGAAATTTCTTTAATAGAGATGCAACCCAAACTATGTCCTTGCACCTATTTCCATACAACAGCATCCAATGGGAATTATGTAGCATCTTAGGATTATTTAAGAGATTTTTAGTATTTTAGTCACAATGACCAGGTGAAGAATTCAATCACTACCCATATTCTACAAAAAGCACTTAAATTTTCTTACCTTAAATTTGATAGAGAAGTACAATAATCAGAAAATACTTCTTGAATAGCCTAGCAACGAACAAGATGGTGAAGGAGATATGTAAGTTTGACATTTTTAAAAAGGGTCTTTTCTTGATTAATATTTACAACCTCCTCTTTCCATGGATTAAACTGATGTTTCTATTATGTGGGGGGAAAACAACGATTGAACTAACATGCAATTTTACTCAGAAATATAACAGCTATAAAAACATTTCTTTATAAGGTAAACAGTTAACAAATAATGTTTATACATTATCAGGATTTTTAGGAAAGTATTCATTAAAATAGTTATATCTGGAATCACATTACCTTGACTCAATTATTTCTCTAAACAATCTATAAAATGTTAGCCAGTCTTTTCAGCATATATGCAGTTCTAAATCTGACCGTAAGTCAGCATTGCTGTTTTGAGACTAGAGAATGTCTCACTAGATACCAAATACAGTAACATGTATATGCCAGTTGCCTATATATTTTTTAAAGATGAACATAACAAAACAGAAAACCTTACCTCTACAAAATGAAGAAGCTTTTTAGTGGATGCCTCAAAAGTTTTTCGAGCCATTTCTGATTTTCGTAATTGGCAGTCAAGTACCATAATTCTCTTTTTTAAATCCTGAACACTTTCCTGCACAGAGATATCAAAGGGAGCATTTAGACATTTTTCCAGTTTTATATTACTGGTCCCAATTTTCAGTTTTTATGAACTAATATTCAATATTGACAAATTATTTTTTTCCTCTTACTATACATATCTTCTGATTTTGGGGGGCATGTAACTAACTGTATATTTAAAAGTTAATTTGCACAGAGATACTGCAAGTTTTATGAGATAAGTTGCACATGACTTTATTCTTACAGTAAAATACATTTAAATTAGTTTATGGGTTTTTTTTTTTTTTTTTTTTTGCAATGTGTCTTACCAGATGCTGACAGAAACCTCTTCCAATTTAACACATCTAAAAACTCTGGACACACACACACACACACACGGACACTCACACAGAAACACACACACACGATGTAAGATAAAGCTAGCAAGGAAGTAAAGGAATTCCATGGAGAATTCCAACAGCAAAGCCAAATTAACCCACTGAGGTAAGAGAGCACTAAAGCATGATTTACTTGGAGGGTATATGCTGATCCCTGGTGCTCTACAGTTTGCGGTTTCATCAGGCACAAATGGAAAACAAAATAACCTTAATGGGTGAATTAAGAAGAAGTAAACTTTACAGAGGTAAACAGTATTTTGATGTTGGCTCAGGTGACTTAGTAAAAAAGTTTCTCTGAAGATTCCTAACCAAAAATCCCCACTCACGCAGGTCTGGGGCCAGAATTTACATTATCTGTGTGGCCTGAAAAGCCATATGCTAAAATTTTAGTTTACATTGGTCCCAGGCTAGCAGAAGCAAACTCAAAACTCTGGGGAGTTATTTTTAAAACTCAGATCTCAAAGAATTCCCATTTATAATGCATCGACAGAACATGACCTCACAAACAAAAATCACTGAACACCTGAGAAAATAAGCTCTATGAATTAAAGCTAACTGAAGGAAACAAAGTATAGTATCAGATCTATAAAGACAGCAGATATTTGAGTGAGCAGAAACAGAATATAAAGCAATTACGTTTAATATGTTTTTAAAATTAAGAGGGAATTGAAAGTATAGTACATAAGAAATTATCAAAATAGATCCAGATAACATAAAAAATAAATCTCAAAAATTAAAATGTAACATAACTAATAGAAACTTTATTTATAGATTTAACATCCAGTTAGATACAATTGAAAAGAGAATGGGTGAACTTGACAACAGAGGTAAAGGAACTAATAGTGGAACAGAAAGACAAATATTGAAATATAAATGGCAAGAAAAGGTAAAGAGAAAACAGCCAGAAAAAGCTACAGCACACATCCAATCTGAATTACATAAGAGCAAATGCAGAGAATGAAAGAGAAATTGCTCAGGATAATAGCTTGGTGATTTCCAGAAATGGCAGAAGACATTGCTCTTCAAATCAGGAAGCTCAGTGAATTCCAAACAGTACACATTAAAGTAAGTCAACATATGATTCATCATAGTCAAACTGCTGAACATTGAAGCCAAAGAGATATTAAAATCATATAGAAGGAAACAGATTGCAAACAAATGACAGACTGACAGTTGACATCACAAACATGAAATAAAAACAGTGAAAGAAATTAAATGCCAATTTAACATTTTAAATGTAGCAAAAATATATTTCAAGAACAAGAGTTGAATAAAGTTGTTCTTCAGACAAATAAAATGGTGAGAGCTTATTATCACCAAATCCTCACTACATGAATTTCTGAAATATGTACTCAAAAGAAACAAAGTGAGAAGGTCTAAGATGTAAGAATGTTTAACAGAAAATGGTAAACATGGAGTCTATCAGGAAAATGCTGACCACACAAAACAAATAATCAATGGCTAATCTGTGGTCATAAAAGTAAAGAAAGAACTAAAATACTGACAAAAATGGAAATTAAGTAAGGAGTGATGATTGGATTTGTGTTCTAAAGTGCTTACAATATTTAGAAGAAGAGAAAAGGTACTGATTAATTTTATAATTGAAGTTAAAACAGAATGTTAAAATTTCTAGGATAATCATTAAAAATTAAAAACAGAATGTGTAACTTTGAAAATAGAGAGGGATGAATGTAATGGGGCAAGATGATATTGGAGAAATCTGAACCAATAGAAAAATTACTAGAGCACATGGGGAAAATAAAATGTACAAAATAAGGGGCAGAAATCAGGCCAAGTGCATGAACAAATAAGAGTTTAAATAGGAAGGTCTTTCCAATTAAAGGTCAAAAATTAGCAAGATGGAGGGAAAAATCCAGCTACATGTTATTTACCATGGATACAATTAAAATACATTGAAAAGTTGAAAGTAAATGTATGGTATTTAGACAAATACCAACTAAAATAAAGATGGTGTTACTATTTATTATCAATCAAAAATAGACATTAAAGGGTAGAGATGATTGTGAGATTGAAGAGCATGACATTATCATAAAAGAATGATAACATAATTCCAAGCTCGTATTCATCTAAAAACATTAATTCAAAGTATATACAATTAAAAAGAGAAGCCAAAAGGGAGATTTTGGCACACTTCTATGAGTAAACAATGGCTGTAGCAGACAAGGAAATTAACATAAACAAACAAGAATTGAACCCCGCAATTTAATGACCCTGATCTAGTGGATTATATAGAACAAGAGCATCCAACAATTGCAAAATTATTTTCAAGCTTTCTTTGAACATTTGTAAACAGGCTCCAAGGTAAGCCATGAGGCAAACATTGACAAATTTTGAAGTTATTATTCTATAAACTAGATTATCTTGTCACATTGAAATTAACCTTTCTGTGTCTCAGTGGTGTTCATAAATAAAGAAAATCACAAATATGTAAGTTCTTCCCAATTTAGTCTACATATTTAATAAATTTGCAGTGAAAATTCTAATACATTTTTTCTTTTGATGGAATTGATAAGCTGAATCTAAAATAGATAATAAAAAATCAAAGGGTCATGTAGACACCACACTTCTGAAGAAAAAGAATTAGGCAGGATAATCAGATACCAAGACTTACTGTAAAAGATACAGTAAGCAACACTATGTGTTATTCACAGAGGAATATACATTGACCAACAAAAGAGAATAGAGAACCTCAAACAGATTCATACATGTATGAAATCTTCATATATGACAGAGATGATTTTGTAGATCAACTAGGAAAGAAGGGGCTTTTTAGTAAATGGTGAAGAGATATTCATTACAAAGAATGAAATGGATTCCCACTTCATACAGTGCCACAAAACCAATACAGAAGGATCAAAACTTTAAAACTTTTGGAGGCAAATATTAAATAGTATCTTTATATCCTTGAAAATGGAAGAACTTCTAAAAAGACACATGAGGGTAAAGATTTTTAAGTTAGTCTACATGAAAATTAAAAATTCCTGTCCATTTCATCACAGAGTGAAAAGGCAAGCCAGAAATTTAGAAGAAGACTTTCATAACATTTAATAAAGGATTAGTAACCAGAAAAATCACTACACATCTATATGAAAAAGATAACTAATCCACTGGGGAAAGGGTCAAAAGATGTGAAGAAGCATTTCACAGAGAAACACAAATGCCTAATAAATAAATATACGCTTAACTGGCTACCAGGGAGAAGGAAACCTTGGTTTATGACATTTGTGGGTAGAAATAATTCCATTATGGCTGATTTCAAGCCAATCTGATGTCACTGTACACGGAGTGAGAAGAGATGCATGCAATCAGCTCTCATGAGCTAGAGTCAGCTGGTCCTAGCACTTCACTGTCTCAAAGCCATTAGTAACCAGGAAAATTCAAATTAAACTATAATGACATAACACTTATTACACGTACCAGATTGATAAAAATTAAAAGTAAAATAAAGGAGTCAGCAAATATGTGGGGTAAACAATAATTGTTATTCATTACTGGTGGGAGTACAAATTAGTTCAAACACTTTGAAGTACAAATGGGTATTACCTAGTAAAGCCAAACTTACAATTATTCAACTTAGCAATTCTACTTCTAGCAGGTAACTATTACACATGTGGAGCAGGATACATGCACTAAAATGGTTTTAGCAGCATTTGTAACGGAAGAGAACAGAAACACTTGGACTGTCCATAAAATGCAGAATGGATAATTACACTGTAGTATATTCACAAAATAGAGTACAAAAAAACAATAAGACACAAACTAGCTAAAAACTTGAAACAGATGAAAGGCAAAAACAAAATGTTGAATGAAGAAAAGCAGGTCAGAATGATACAGAGAGTATATTTTGAGTCATATAAAGTTGATAAACAGGTAAAACTAAACAACATATTATTAAGGAATATATACATAAGTACTTAAAATTTTTGAGAAAATGGTTAACAATAAATCCAAGAAAATGGTTATCTCTGAGGGAAAGGGTAGGAGATACAATTAGAAAGAAACACTGTAGGTCTTCAAAGGTACTAGGAATGTTTTATTTCTTATGTTGAAGATGAACAAAAACTCCAAAAGGTAAATAAATAAACAGATAACATAAAGATAAAAATAATGAAAAATAAAAGCATTGTTATAAAAATAATTTGTTATCCTACAAATAAACACTTGAATCTTAATTCTGTAACATCTTGGTCAATATCTCTTTAAGCAATCTCATGATTTAAAAAAAAAGAAAAAGGTTTCCTTCTTTTTTTCTACTGGTATTGGGTTTAGAAAACGTGAACGTTGAGATGACCATATCTAACAGCTCTTTAAAAAAGACTGTTTTCAGTGACAGGTTACTTACTGGCTTAGAGTCTTGTTAAGAGAAATGGCATGAGACCCCCATTATGAAAAAAGAAAAGCTGAATTAATTATATTACCAGGCAACTTAGGACAAAAATGTTTCTCAGTTAAGAGCTAGAAGAGAGATTACAAATAACCCAAGCTCAAAAAAAAAAAAAAAAAAATTCATGAGAATGTTCATGAAAGCTCTCTTACTTAAAAATAAAATATTAAACACTTGATTTTCACTTCAAAAGTAACCATAATAAATAGTACTTTTGACATTTTGATAAATCTCAAAATATTTTCATACTCAGGCTAAATTTACATAACATAATCACATATCTCTATTTTCATAATGTAAAAACTAGGTCGAAAATAACAAATATGTAATATTCCTAAATATTGCTGCTTTGTCAACGAAATGTTTTACTCTTGGCCTGTGGTGTTACCAGAGGGTGATGGGAACTTCAGCCTTCTTGTGGAACTGGTTTAAATGAACAGATGTGAGAAATTGTTTAGTGACTTTTAACAGATTTCAAAATTTTCTTTGGTATTTCGCATTTCTAACACTAGTTTCATTTTCACACAGTATATTTAAAGTATTCATCTTTTTAATTTTTAAATAAATAGTCATAAATTATTCAAATTTGCTTTATGTTCTCTTAGAAACTGATTGGATTAGAGATATAAATACCAGTTATGTTTATAAGTGAACAAGTCTATGAATATTTACTTCAGTTTACTCAATTTTCTACCTTACTTCAGTGAAGTAAAAATATATATGACTATTACAGTTTTTTGAAGGCTCTTCACTGAATATAGTATATATTATGTAAAAAAAAATTGCATAAAAAAGTTTGCAACGCCAGGCGCAGTGGCTCACACCTGTAATCCCAGCACTTTGGGAGGCCAAGGCGGGTGGATCACATGAGGTCAGGAGGTTGAGACCAGCCTGGCCAATGTGGTGAAACCCCATCTCTACAAAAATACAAAAAATTAGCTGGGGGTGGTGGTGGGCCCCTATAACCCCAGCTACTTAGGAGGGTGAGGCAGGAGAATCAGTTGAACCTGGGAGGCAGAGGTTTCAGTGAGCTAAGATAGCCCACTGTACTCCAGTCTAAGTGACAAAAGCAAAGCTCTATCTCAGAAAAATAAAAAAATAAAAAAATAAAAAAAAAGTTCACACTGACTTCTGAAAAGCATTCAGTATTTTGCTACTGAAATTGGAAAATTATCTATTTAGTACACCTTATATTAGAAAAAAAAATCAAACTCAGTTTCTTCCTATTAATTATATTGGCCTTAGCAAACATTCTTTCACTTTTACACTTCCTTGAATGCTCTAATCAAAAAGCAAACCCATCCCTAGACACCCCGCCTCTCATTCTCATAAAACAAATTAGCAAGTTCAGAAACAAAAAGAAGAAAACCAATGTAATCAATTAAAGAGTTCCTGCCAGGAATAATGGCTCATGCCTGTAATCCCAGCACTTTGAGAGGCTAAGGCGGGCAGATCACCTGAGGTCAGGAGTTCAAGACCAGTCTGACCAACATGGAGAAACGCCGTTTCTACTAAAAATACAAAATTAGCTGGGCATGGTGGTGCATGCCAGTAATCCCAGCTACTCAAGAGGCTGAGGCAGGAGAATCACTTGAACCCGGGAGGCAGAGGTTGCGGTGAGCTGCGATAGTGCCATTGTACTCCAGCCTGGGCAACAAGAGCAAAACTCCATATCAAAAAAAAAAAAAAAAAAGAGTTCCAGGATTTAATACCTGAACTGAACAATGCTGACCAATGACCTAAATAAATTTGGGGCACATGCTTTTCTATCCCAAAGCCATCTGGATAAAGGAAGGCTGAAGACCTTTACATTGCCCCCATCAGGACACAGCATCCTATCACTAAATAATAGAAGACAAACACTGACCTAGTTTAGAAGTGCAGATGAAAAGAAAATGAAAACAGGATACATGACAACGGCAAGGAAACCATGGTAACTGGAAGAGATGACTGCTTTGCTTACTTTATTTTGGTCAGAATAATCAGCAAGCTGAGCCTTTAGCTCTGTAATCTCGGCCTCTAACAGACAGATCACTTCTTCATAGTCCATTTCCATTCCATGTGCCTGTCTCTGTGCAGCTTCAGCAAGATGAATCCGACTTCGCAGGGCTCTTGTTTCTTCAGCTACAGCTTTGGCTTCCTAAAGATTTCAAAATTAATGTCATTTAAAAAAATACATAAGAAATAGGTCAGTGGTTTATACAAAATATTTTCATTGCCCTGGAAGTTATAATTCTAAAAAGTCAATATACATATATTCTTTAGTTCTTTATTCTTTATTAAGTGAGGTAATTGCTGATCTTACTTTTTCCTTTATTGATTTCAGTATGGAGTTGATTTCAGTATGGAATCTCTTGACTTCACATACCTAGCATAATATTTTGAAAATAAAGGAAGTAGAAGAGAGTTGAAAATGGAAAATAGAAGAATAAGAATGGGCTCAAAGGATACAAAGAGTAGGGTACAACAAAACTAAAGTAGGTGGTAGGACTCATGTTCTAAAAAGGTCTTGCAATGTCATCAGATGCTGCTGAGAGATTTATAGTAGTGTTTGAGGCTTCTCCATGGACCAATCTCCAGGGGCCAAAGTTTTCTCATGGACATTAATCTATCTAGTACTTAAGCCAAAAGGTAGAATTCAGTAGCAAAACACATAACTGTTATTGAATGCAATGCTCACAAGACATTTATGAACCACATGTTGTATCTCAGGTGCTTCATGTGTCTTTTCTTACTTAATCTTTAGAACAATATTGAGAGAAAGACATTATTAAAATAACCATTTCATACATAAGCAAGACTCAGAGAAGTTATATGACCTGTTAAAGGACACACAGCAGCACCAGAATCTGAAACTAGATTTGCCTGACTCCAACATTAATGCTGCCTTTCTGTTGTTTTACTCTGCCTCTAAATAAAAAAACAAAAAACCCTTATACAGTTATAACTTCCACCTTAGGAAGAGGATAGGGTAGCCAAAGCTACTTGTTCTCTCAAAGTGTACTTGGAGGGAAAAAAATATACCTTGGTACTGGGTCAAAGACAGTCCCCCAGGACACCAATATAATTTAATATGGCACTTCATATACTGTAAACCATTTCTTTTTCTTTACTTGATGCAGAAATCTCTTTTCTCTGCAATAGAACTTTCTGCTCCAATTGCCATGGCTAATATTAAACTATGGCTATTTTAATTTTTTCAGAACTGTTATGGGACATTTGCTTTAGTTTGAGCCTGAATAGATTTGAAGTGCTGGGAGGGTTAGGAATGCTGGCATATTCTTAAGGCTCAGTGTTTCATTCATACATTCAATAATGGTTTATTAAGTATTTATTATGTGTCAGGTTCTGCTTCAAGTATTGGGGGTAAACACTAAACAATATAGACAAAAAGACTTCCCTCTTGCTCCTTGGAATTTACATTCAAGGTTTGGGGAGATAGTAAATCAGGGATGAGAGGTAAAGGTCTCATTGAGAGGATAACTGGCCAGAGACCTGCAGGGGGAATGGAGTCAGTATTTCCTAAGGAGGATCTTTCTAGGAAGAGGGAACAGTTTGCATGGAGGACCGCAGATGAAGTTGTGCTTTGCATCTTTCAGAAAACAGCAAGGAAGCCAGTGTAGCAGAGGTAGGAGTGGTACGGAAGAGGGGAATAATAAGACATGAGGACAGAGTGGTAACAAGAGTGAATGTAGGGATGGAGGTGGAGTGAAGTGGCAGAGGCTCAGAGAATTTGTAGGCCATTGCAAGGACTTTGGTATTACTCAGGGTGAGATGGGACATGATTGGAGGGTTTTGAGCAAAGAATTGATGTGATCTGACTTAAAGTTTAAAAGTGTTATTTTTGCTGCTGTATTGAGAATAGACTGTAGGTGGTCAGCAAAGGGGGGAAGCAGGGAGAAGAAAAAGGAGACAGGCAAAAATTAACTGTAGCTTCAGTAAGGGTGATAGTGGTAGAGCTGGTATGAAATGGTTAGATTCTAAATATAGTTTGAAGGTAAAGCCAAAAGGATCGTTCATTGATAGCATTTATTTAGCAGCCACTGCATCTAGCAACCATGTTTATGACAAAAAGACAAAGGGATAAAAGATAATTTCTCCTTTTCTGTCTCAACTTAGAACATCAGCTATGACTTAGATAAATGGATGAAGAACAGAGGATGTTAGACAAAGAGAACCATGTGAACAAAGGAATAGAGACAAGAAGAAATGTGGCACACTGAGAAACAATACAGACTAATTTTGATTGGAGTACAGACTTGCTATAGGGAAATAATGAATAAAAAAAGGTTGGGGAGAGCGAGGAAGTCAGGCTCTGGTAGAAATGGCAGGCATGACAGGCAAAGGAGCTTGAGTCTCAAGAAGACTTGAAGGCCTCTGAGCAGAAAATGATATGAGAAAACAGTGCTTTAGAAAGCTAAATCTGGCAGCAGGGTGCCAGATGGAGAGATGTGGCCAACCAATTGCCTTCTATGCCCTTGACTCAAAGAACTTTATTTCCTTGTATCTGAAAGTAATTGTTTTATAATAAAATAATACTTTTAGAAAGAAGTATCTGGAAAAGAAAGGGACACTAACCTAGCCTACCACACTAGTCAATTTTGTTCAGATGATCAAGAGAGTCTCTAGTGACACAGCTGGATCAACTTCACACCAGACTGCTGTGGTGCATACAGGAGGTAACGGCTAACTATGTGCCAGCACTGTTCTCAACGTTTTACATCCATCAACTCAGTTAATCCACACACTGCCATGGATATGTCTATTATTATCCTCCTATTATTATCTGCATTTTATAGACAGGACATTGACGCACAGGAAAGTTAAGTAATTTAGAATCACAAACCTAAAAATTGACAGCTAAGATTTGGCAGTATAGTTATAAAGTTCATGTTGTTGGCTACTATGCTATACTACTTTGCCAACTACAGAAAATGTTAGAAAAAAAAAAAAAGTCACTTGTAGATGACATAATTATCACTGTCCAGCCCTGGATAAGCCTATGATGTGGCCATTACAATAGGCATATTTGAGGCTGCTTTACTCTCCATTTCTCATTCAATCAAGCTTAAAAAAAAAAAAAAAGCCTCTAAAGGGAAAGAGGAAGGGCAGAAAATTCTCCATAGCTGCAATGAAGAATAACTAATTTGATGATTTGTCTTCTTCACACTCACTTTGTGCAGCTTTTATTCATCTATAAAAACAGCACTTTTATTTTTGTTCAAAGAATGCTAGTTAATTAACTGAAGAATCTGGATGGAATTTATATAGCCATTATAGTGCACTGATGGTAATACAGTGTGAAATGTAGTTGGGTGGTAAAAGATGCAGAGGTTTTGATGCTGAATAAATTCATGCTATTTCTTTTGTAAATGTATAACTGTCAGGTTGGTGAATGTGACCCCTTAGCAAAGTTCTAGCCCAGTTACCACTGAGTGGCTGTTAAAAAGATTAGTGCATTGAAATGATGACTTTTAGAGGAAGCAGTAAAGAAAAGATAACAGCAGTGTGCCGTATTTAGCAATACAAGATCACATAAATCCATTTTCTCTTTTCCTCCCAGGCTGTCTTCTAATAAATAACTGTACAGCCTCCTATGTCAGTAACAATTGAGCCAGAATTTTCCCAGTACCTCACCATGAAACTGAAATTCCATCAGGGCAAATGCTGTAGTCTATTTACTGATTTACTGTGTACTAGATAGAGTTTAATTCCATTTAGAAGGTTAGATAATAAAAGAAAAACTAAGATATAGTAGTAAGTCAGAAAATGCACGTGAGCATAATCCTTTTTAATACTAAGTGGTGTGAGCAAATGTACTAGAAGGGAATCCTAAATTATGAAGTAAAATCTCTGGCTTAATTTTTTTTTGGCAACACTGAGGAAATTTCTTCAACTCACACTGTTCCTTTATAAAATGAGGTTTTTCTGCCTCACGTTTTCATAACAAATCTTTAAAGAAGATCAGACCAAATTCTTCTTTGAAAATGTAATCTTAATGAAAATCTTTGTAGGCTACCAATACTTTGGACTTGTGTTGGGACAAAGGACGGCAGCAGCTCATACACAGGACAATAAATATACCATGTGTTTTTCCACATACAGCACTTTTTCCCTACAAGGTAACATTAGAATAAAACAAACAAACAAACAAACAAAAAAACACGGGCTTTGGATGGGACATAACTAGGTTACAATCTTGGATCAGAATCTTAGATTTTTAAAAATTTTCTAGCTATATAATTGTCTAGGACTCAGTTTGCTCATTTTTATAACTGGAAATCGCACTTATGTTATTAGATCAAAACAACTCACAAGAGAGTTAAAGAAACTATTGTAGTTCTTGGTAGAGTTTTTTTCCTTTTCCTTTTTCAAACTTTGAAAAAATATACATAATCACCTATGTGATCAGAGAGCTAGACAAAATAATTTATTAAGGGTTTTCCTGAGGCATTCAATTAGTAACATCAGCTCCTGAACTTTGGAGAGTTGTTTGGAAACACAATTTACATATGTCTTTTTTAATGTTAGCAACAATCATGTAAAGCCCTTTCCTCCAGTTATGAGTTTTAATGAATGGCTCCCTATAGTAGAAGGAAAAAGCATTAAATGTAGTAGCACATCTGTAATTAGGCTAATACATCCACATCAGTAACTTTAAAAGTTCTGCAGTTTTTAACTTCATCAGTAAATCTTTCAAAATGTCAATAGGTGACAGGAGAAAAATGAGACTGCCAAGAGATATATGTTTTTGTGCAATGTAACCTATGCTACCAAGCCCTAAAGAATACTTCTCTTATCAGCTTCCTACATCCACTCTTTGGAAAACCTTTCTTGGTCTTGGTACTATTACAGCTTGTGAAAAAGATTAAGGGTTACTTCAGGAAAAGGGCTTTTGAATGAAAATGTTTAAAAGCAAGTTATATCTAGTTTCTTTAACTTATGAGTCTGATTTGTTAAAATATATGTAATATACCTTTCAATGGATAATCTCAAAGTGCTTTGCAGATATTAACAACTGAAGGTATAACTCACCCCTCAGGCATGAATGTTTATGGGGGAGAATATGAATTCTTAGAACTTTTTAATAAACCTCTGACATATGCTTTCTTTTCTCTTTCCTCACTCCCCCTCCATGAT